AAATCAAATCAAATCAAAATGAATCAGAAAAACACTTGATCACATAACTGTCAAATAACAGTTGATTAAAACAAGGGTTTGCATAAAACAAATACAGAAACATTGGAACAAATTTCTTTTTGTGTGTTTTTTCTTTTTCTTAATTATAATGCAAGAAGATAGGTTGTCATTCTTTTCATTATGTAACGTTGATTTATAAAATAATAACTTGTAGTTAAAAGAAAGTATAAATCAAAAATATGGAGAACATTATTATTTTGCTTATTAAAGAAAGTAAAATGTCTCTTTTGAGGGAGGTCTCTTGAGACCAGGGTCAAAGACAGGTGGAAGTGTTTATTCTCCCTCAGGGTGACCCTTACAAAATGTTAAAAAAAAAACAAACCTTTTTTATTTGTTGTTTTTATGTTTTATGGCTTTTTATTATTTTTACTTGTTACGGCACTCTTTAACTATTTTTTGAAAAATCTTATTTTTCTCAGACACCTTCAGAGTGCTTATTAGTCCAAGAAAATACTCAATATCTAAGAAAATCTAGCAATCTGAACACTTTAAACTTCTATACAAATACTTTAAAAAATACTGATCTCACTTGTTTTCGTTCATTGATCTCGTCCAATTGAAGAAGCTGGTCTCACTTTTCAAAATCTCTCTTGTGCAGGAGAACGTTCATCTAGAATCAACCCTGTGCACGTCGTCTGCTTCTGATGTTGGATAGAGGGAGGTAGACGTCTTCAAATCCTTAAAAAGACCAAGGTTTGTTATAGAAATGAAGTCCTTCTAACAAATGACCCTGGCCTTGGTCTCTGATTCTGGTTTCCTACCCCTTTATAAATGGTAGAAACTCACCACAATGCTCATTCTCTTGCTGTTGCTCTCCCACATCAGTGTATACAACACAGCATTTAAATATACAAGAAGAGCATTCCATGCATGTTAATGTGAGCAGGCTGCAAACTGGTTTTACACGATGTTGCGTACGTACGTTTCTGGGGGGCATTACCATTAATTAAATACAAGGCAGCCGGTGGCACTGGATCCCCTGGGGGGACTGGTTTCATTGGAATTTTACATAAGACTCTAAAAAAAAGTAAAACATACATTTAAGATGCAAGAACAGAATATAGTAAAAATAAAAACTCTCATCCAAATATCTTATTAAAACCTAATTTTGTCTGCATTCCTGGTCCAGTTCCGAGAAAGCAGGACAGTCTTTGCATAAACAGATCACTCTCGAGTGTCAGTGAACTATGTTGTTTTTTTATTCATTAATATAATTTTTCTTTCTCGCTGCCTGTCTGTATTTCTTTCTAAATTAATTATTTAATTTAAAGGAAGAGCAGGGAAGACCAAACTAAAAAGTTGAGAAACTCACTTATTTACGTGATTAAGCAGAGTTAAATTTACTGACATTTCATGTTTAGCTTCATTACAAATGTCACATTTAAACAAAAAAAAGGTCAACATTCAGGTTGTATTGTTTTGTTTTTCCTAACCTGCTTTCATATTTAGAAAAATAAAATGYGTTAATTTATTTCATATGTGATATCAAGTATATTGAATAAACACACAAAGGGCTTGCCGTATTCCCAATCATGCTCACCAGTAAAGCATTTAAACCCATGCACAAACATTCCTAGTGTTTTATTATGAGCTCGCTGCAGGCAGAGTTGTAAAGTAACTAAGTACAAATACTTTGTTACTGTTGAATTTTGCGGTATCTGTGCTTTACTTATTTTTCAGCCTTTTTACTTGTACTCTTTACATTTTCACAGAATTATCTGTACTTTCTACTCCTTACATTAAAAAAGGCAAGACGTAAAAAGTTGTTACCTTTATTTCATTTT